AACAAAGGCAGCAGCCTTTTTAACCAATCAAACCATTTGGGCGGTGGGTTTTATTGATTAAAAACTCACAATCTTATCCTTGAAGATATTTGTTTTAAAAAAACATATAATAATGTTAGAAAAATATCTTCCCACATGTACGTGCTCACAAACCAACTTAAACATATATATAAATCACCTATTTCATGCATATATCATATCTTACACTTAATAACTCCATGCATTTATATTACTATAAAATGCATATAACTCACAAAATTCACGTATTAACACATAAGGCTACCTTAATCCAGCTTGTAGAAAACCTGGTTATAACATTCTCTCCCCTTTAGAAGAATTTCGTCTCGGGATTCATTCCTTTAATCGAACCAGGGGTATTGGTTCCTCATTTTAGATTCTAGCTCCCAAGTTTCCTCTGAACCTTTATGAAATTTCCACTGTATTCTAACCAGATTAATTTCCTTGTTTCTCAAGACCTTGACTTTTCTGCCTGTTACAGCTTCTGGAGTTTCAATAAAACTCAACTTTTCATCAAGTTGGATTTCAAGGAGTGGGATTGCTTGACTGGGTTCTGCCAAACACTTACGAAGATTTGAGACATGAAAGGTATTGTGGATTAAACTGTGTTCTTTGGGTAGACCAATTGATAAGCTACCTGCCCAATACGTTTGCAGATTTTAAATGGTCCAACATACCTTGGACTTAGCTTACCTTTCTTCCAGAACCTCATGATACCTTTACATGGTGAAACTTTTAACATCACAGAATCCCCAACACAAAAATCAATTGGCTTTCTTCGTCTATCAACATAGCTTTTCTGTCGGTCCTGTGCTGTTTTGATCTTTGCTCTAATCAACTCAATCTTTTCAGAAGTGGTTTGTACTATTTCTGGACCTGACAACTGTTTTTCACCAACTTCATTCCAACATAAAGGCGTTCGACATTTTCTTCCATATAAAACCTCATAAGGTGTTGCCTGTATACCGGAGTGATAGCTATTGTTGTAAGCAAATTCTATCAATGGTAGATGCTCTTCCCATGAACCCCCAAAATCAATCACACAAGTTCTCAGCATATCTTCAAGAGTTTGAATAGTCCTTTCAATTTGACCATCAGTTTGAGGGTGATACGCTGTACTTAGATGAATTTGTGATCCCAAAGCTCTTTGTAAACCTTCCCAAAACTTTGAAGTAAACCGGCTGTCTCTATCAAAGATAATGGACAATGGGACTCCATGCCTGGTCACAATTTCCTTAATGTAAATCTGAGCTAATCTTTCCAATGAATCAGTTTCTTTCATTGGTAGGAAATGTGCAGACTTTGTTAAACGGTCTACAATCACCCAAATTGCATTAAAACCCTTTGAGGTTCGAGGTAGCTTCGTAACAAAATCCATGGTTATCTGGTCCCACTTCTAAACAGGTATCTCTGAAGGCTGTAAACTTCCATATGGTCTCTCATGCTCAATCTTAACTTGTAAACATGTCAAGCATCTTTCAACATATTTGTTGGGTCCGAAAAACTCATCGTTCCCTCGAGCCGGTCAAATCCGTGATTCTTAAACCCAACACTCCTGTAGCAATGCAGGAGCATCCCACATCGGTGAGGCTAGGGGGATTCGGCTTCCTTATAAGGAAGTGGGAGTCTTACTCCTACGAGTGACGCGTTTTAAAGCCGTGAGGGGTTGGTCAAACCCAAAGCGGACAATATCACGTGGGCGGTTCCCTAGATCGGTCCAAAAATATTCTGCTACATCCCTCTTAAGACCTGGCCACCAGTAAAATTCTTTCAAATCTTTGTACATCTTATTGGTACCTGGATGAACTGAATATCGAGACTTATGGCTCTCTTCCAAGATAATTTCTCGCTTATTCCCATATTTTGGTACCCAAATTCGGCCTTGGAAGCATAAAACTCCTTTGTTGTCCAACTTCATGTCAGAAATCATTTTTCCCACCTTTTCTGCCTTCTGGTTCTCTTCTTTAACAACCTCCTTCTGGTTCTTTAAAATTTCTTGAAGAAGGTCCGAAGTTATACAAATCTTCATTGCTTTAACCGTACCACTTCTTTCTTTTCGACTTAGAGCATCAGCCACTATATTTGCCTTTCCTGGATGGTACAAAATTTCACAATCATAATCATTAACAAGTTCTATTCATCGCCTCTGCCTCATGTTCAAATCCTTTTGGTTGAACAAATGCTGCAGGCTTTTATGATCTGTGAAAATTTGACATTTTGTTCCCAAAAGGTAATGTCTCTAAATCTTTAATGCAAAAACCACTGCTTCTAGCTCCATGTCATGAGTAGGATACTGTTTTTCATGGTCTTTTAATTGACGGGACGCATAGGCTATGACTTTTCCTCTTTGCATTAACACACAGCCTAAACCCAATTTTGATGCATCGCTGTAAACCATAAAATCTTCAGTTCCATCAGGTAGTGATAAGATTGGAGCATTACACAAATGATCTTCAATGTCTGGAAATAATTCTGCTGCTCATTTTCCCACTGGAACTTGACACCCTTTCGAGTTAACTTGGTTCATGGAACAGTTATTTTTGAAAAGTTTTGAATGAACTTACGGTAATAGCCTGCCAAACCCAAGAAACTTCAAATTTCTGATGGTGTTTTTGGTGCTTCCCAATCTGCAATAGCCTTTACCTTTGATGGATCTACCTGTACTCCTCTCTCTGAAATAACATGACCCAAAAACTGAACTTCCCGCAACCAGAATTCACACTTTGACATCTTTGCGTACAGCCTTTCTTTCTTCAAGAGACTCAGAATTAGATGAAGATGTTATGTATGTTCTGTCTCTGACTTTGAATATATCAAAATATCATCTATAAACACAATCACAAACTTATCAAGATACTCACGACATATTCTGTTCGTCAAATCCATAAAGACTGCAGGTGCATTCGTTAAATCGAAAGGCATAACCAAGAATTCATGATGTCCATATCTGGTTCTGAAAGTTGTTTTGGAAATATCTTCATTTCTAACCTTCAATTGATGGTATCCAGACCGCAAATCAATTTTGGAGAAATAATTTGCCCCTACCAACTGGTCAAACAGATCATCAATTCTCGAGAATGGATATCTATTCTTAACTATTAATTTATTAAGTTCCCGATAGTTTATACACATACGTATAGATCCATCCTTCTTCTTAACAAATAACACTGGAGCTCCCTAAGGCGATATACTCGGTCTGGTAAAGCCTTTATCAAGTAAATCTTTCAACTGTGAGGCCAATTCTTTAAGTTCTGATGGAGCTAATCTATATGGTGCTTTAGCTACAGGTGCTGCTCCAAGTAGAAGATCAATATGAAAATCAATGATTTTGTCTGGTGGAAGACCAGACAAATCTTCTGGAAACACTTCTGGGTAATCACTAACCACATAAATCAGTCTCTGTTTTTCTTTTTCCTTTTTAGCATCAATAACATAACCCAAAAACCCATAACATCCCTTCTGTATACACTTTCTTGCTTTCATAACTGTCAACAATCCACGATGGATATTCTGGTGATCACTGTGAATAATAATTGTTCCTCTGTCTGGTAGAACCATTCTGACTATTTTCTGATCACAAACAATACTGGCCTTGTTTCTTGCTAACCAATCCATCCCTATCACTATGTCAAATTCTTTCATCGACATAGGAAACAGTCTAACTGGTACCTCACTTTCTTCAATTCAGATAGAGCAATTATTAAACACAGATTTCACACATACTTGACCATTAGCAGTATCAACTACTAACCTGTCATCAAGAGGCACATAATTCATTTTAGCATGTTGAGCAAATGATGGAGATACAAACGAAAAGTTTTCTCCCGAATCAAATAACACTTTAGCATCGAGGGAGTTGATAAGAAATGTACCTGTAACTACATCAGGCACAGTTTCAGCTTCGAGTTTGATCATATGAAATGATCGTCCCCGTACCCCTCCTGTTGCTCCTTTGCTTGTACCTAGTCTCACTTGACCAGAAGATGTGATATTTCCAATAGTCAACTGTGGAACATTCATCTTTGGGAAATTTGGTCTCAGATGATCTGTGGAGTTGCAATTATAACATCTTTTTACTGTTGGGCAGTTGTTCAACAGATGGCCCACACTACCACATTTGAAACATTTCTTTGGTTCCATCCTGCACTCTCCTTGATGAATCTTTCGACATTTAGGACAAGGTTTCTTATTGAACTTTTGCATTGACCTCTGATTGCTTGTGTACTTCATGGTTTTTGGTCCCCTGTATCCAGCTGCTGGACCTTCCCACCTTCGTTTTTCTATTACCTTTCCTTCTTCCTGTTTGTTTTTGTTCCTCTCAGTCACTTCTGCTGCATCAACTATTGAAGTAAAAGTAGTCGGATTCATGGCTATCACAAATTCTCGGATTGATGACTTCAATCCCCAAATGTACCTTTCCACTTTCCTTGATTCAGTGGAGATGTAATGTTCTGCAAACCTTGAATATTGAATAAACTTCTCTGTATAATCTTTCACATATCTATTTCCTTGCTCAAGATTTAGAAAATCTTCTTCCATCTTCCTTATTGCAGCTTTTGGGCAGAACTGTTCTTTAAATCTGTTGACAAATTATGGCCATGTCATTGTTTGTATGATGTCTATTCTGGCCATAGACTCAACCTCCCACAAAAACAAAGCATTCGACTTCAACATAGAAATTGCAAATCTGACTTTATCTGTTTCTGCACACTTAATGGTGTTAAACACAGACTCTATTTCCTTGATCCAACAGATGGCTTTGGTTGGATCTCTTTCTCCTGAAAAAGTTGGAGGTTTGCATGTTAAGAACATTTTTATATCATCTTATCTATTATTAACAATAGGAACAGGTGGATTGACTTCAACTCCGTTGGTTTCTCCCCTGGCAGGGCCTCCTATTATAGAAATTAAAGTTTCCCTTAATCTTCTTATTTTCTCAGCCAACATATCCCTAGTAACATATTCAGGATGATGAGTCTGCTCTTGATTCACATTTTCATAGTTTGACTTAGCTTGGTCAGGGTTGATCTCAACTGTGTTTATTCTGTTTCTGCTTTGGCCTCTACCTCTGCCTCTTCTACTTCTGCCTCTTCCTTCCAAGGCACTAACAGGAATCCCTATCAGAGAATTTTCTGGCTCACAGGGATTAGACTGTGCTAGTCTTCCAGATCTTCTGAATTGACTTGCCATCTGTAAATTTTATGATTAAATAACACATTTTCACATTCCCAAATATAATAAAGCCTTGGAGTTCAAATATGTACCTGTATATTCAAAATTATATTGGCCAGATATAATCTGAATATACCTTACATACTGATCCCTTAACTTATCATATTTATTCCAAAGGTTCTAAATATGTCCCTTAAACTCAGGCTCTGATACCAACCTGTAACACCACAAACTCCACATTGCATATAACACATATTTCATACATTAAAATACATGTTCAAACCCACATAGGTCCAAAAATACAAGAGATTACATTATAAAATATACAACTCAATAATTTCAAATAACACTCTCTTGTATAATAAAGCTCATCCTCCAAAAACTTGATCAGATAGCACTTCGCAAATCATGAGCACATAGGTAAAATAATCATAGAGTAATCTTTCCCTTATTATCATTACCTGCACACACATATTTAAAACATAAAAATGAGGGTTAGACGTAAGTCTAGTGAGATCCCTTAATTTCATGTAATTCAGGGTGAGGATCACTAAATCATTTATAAGACTTGTTCACAAAATAAAGAATAAATCAGATTCTGTTTTGGTCTATCGGTCCTCTGGTTGAAAATCCAACACTTAGGAAAAAAAAAATCGATAAGAGGTCCAGAGCCCCTCTGGTTCCTTTTCCAGAGCTTCTGGATTAAACATGCATGCCCAACCAGAGCTTCTGGTTTCACGCGCAAGACCAACCAGAGCTTCGAGTTTCGCACACAAGGCCAACCAGAGCTTCTGGTTCTGCTATAAAAAGATTTTAAGGAAAAAAATCATAAAATAGCGCTCTTATCTTTAGATACAGAGCTTTAAATAAAAACTTTTGATGCAGAGCTCTTACTAATTGATGCAGAACTTCTGTACATGATACAGAGCTCTTACTTACTGGATATGGAGCTTCTGTACATAATACACAGCTCTTACCAATAGATGCAGAGCTTCTATACATGATACAGAGCTCTTACTAAGAGATGCGGAGTATGTAAAAACACTTGGAAATGCAATACAGAGCTCGTATCAACAGATACAGAGCCTTTGTATGTGAAAGTTATATTTGATACAGAGCTCTTATTTTCAGATACAGAGCCTCTGTATAAAAACATTTGAAATGCGATACAGAGCTCTTACTCATAAATGCAGAGCCTCTGTATAACCACTTTTAAAAGAATCAGTCGAAGCCCGGTACAGAGCTCTTACTAATAGATGCAAAGCCTCTGTATCAGAACATTTAAGACAATAATTAAAAGCAAGTACATTACAGAGTTCTTATCTTTAGATACAGAGCTTCTGTATGAACTCATTTACAATACAGAGCTCTTTATCAAACATATACAGAACCTCTGTTTTAAATAACAGATTTAGCAAATCATTATATTCTTTTCAAAACCATTAAAACAGAATCCCTCTGGTTCTCATTTATAAGGACCAATCAGAGTCTCTCTGGTTCCTTGCAAGGTACAACCAAAGCCTCTCTGATTCCTTATAAATCCTTGACCCACAGTCAAGTTTTCTCCTTCTTACTAACTTCACTATTACTATTTCTAATAAGAACAACATCTTTGAATCCTCAAGTTACAAAAAAATAAGTACTCAAATTTGTTGTGATCTTAAAGGATATAATAACAAGAGTTATGATGCCATTGCCACCCTTATACCAAAACACACTCTCCCCAAT